ACTTCCTACTCCTGGCTTGAAGCACTATCTATCTACATGTCTCTCACCTTGACCTAGACGGCCTGCCACGTTCACTTTCGCAGCACAGTCTCAGCTTTTTGCACACACACCTACACACACATGTTTTTCATGCGCTCGGTCCGCCGTCTTCTCCATGTATCACTAATACACCAACGCTGCACATCTTGTCAATGGAACAATCGAAGTTGAACCTCAGGCTCGGCGCGTTGATGGCGATCTAGGCGACGATACACGACTGCGGCAAACGTTGCATTGCGTGTGTGCGAAAGATGCCGGTGTTCGGTACTTTCTCGACTCCCGTGTATGTGCTCTGATGAGCAAAAGGTGGAGAGGTGAGATATCTAGAGGCTACATAACATGGATAACAAGAGAAAAAGTGGATTGCGGTCAGGATCTTAGATCGTGCTAAGAAGAGGCGGATTCGAAAAAGGAAAGAGAATCGCTCAATGACGAGGGGAGATCTCGAAAAAAGAGGAAGGAAGATTGCAAGTGCTGAGAAACCGCTGTGGAAGAGTCTAAATCGGACGCATGTGCTGTGCAGCGGCCATTCTCAGTCCGCTGTCGCCCTTGCGCTTCCGATTGCCAATGCCTCCCCATCCTTCACGAATGGTCAAGAAGAAGCAAGTGGTGCAGACGATGTCCTTAAGCTCTTCACGAGACAAGCCAGCACCGTCTGCGCACAAGCCCGAAGCGCTGAGGTCGGGCAAGGGAAAAGGAATGGCTAGCTGGCCGACGATCTTTGGGTGATGTGGTGCAGGCGCCAAAGAACCGATGGGAATGCGCGTCTCTGGCCCTAGCACGAGATGGCACGACCAAGCAGTCTCGCTGTCTTCTGGGTCCGATCCATAGCCATCGTCCTCTTCGGTATCCCCATGCGAGCTGGTCGTGTCGTCCAAAGCGCTGCTTTCCATCGACCTTCTTGCGCTGTGGATGGAGCCAGGCCTAGAGCCTGCGTTGCTTGGTGGTTGAAGATTGCTGCCAGCAGGGGCCACAGCTCCACTGGCACTGACGAGCCTTTCGGATAGAGGCTGCGCCCCCCCGCTTCGATCGCTGTTTCCGCTGACAGCGGTCTCGATGTCGAAGCTCCCACGTCTGGCTGCGATCGCTCTCGGCGCCGGCGAAACAGCGTCCGTAGCAGCGCGCCCGTGACCAATGACGCGGCTCGAACGCCTGCTTGAACGCGAAGCTCTCCTAGCATTGGGATCTTTGGTCCACTCAAAGCGGATGGGAATCTGCTCGATAGGTGGGTGCAGAACTTGAATTTCCCCAGCCTGGCGGTTGACAAGGTTGAAGCGCTTCCACACGCTTGCAAGGACAGCATTCTGACCCTCCGCGTCAACGCGTGGTTGGGCATTGATGACCTCTCCCGGCGCGCTTCTGTTGAGTTTGCGTATCGTCCAATAGTACCCAGCAGTCTTGCGGCGACCTTCGCTAGAGAGGCCGGAGGCAGGCACCATCTGCGGTATGTCAGAGCCACTGGCAGTTGTGATGCTGCCGGCTAGACTGGCTTCGAGGGTGCTTGGGGCACTGGCGTCCATGCTC